TTTTGTTTCCTTTGTGGAAGATTTTGATTTAGTGAGTTAATAATCTGTTAAATTATGTGACCCCATCTTTATATTTTATTTTTACTATGTATGAAAGTTGCTAATATGTAAGGAATGTTTATTCTCTGAATCTGGAATATATGGTGCATTTTGTTTGTATGTTAATATTACTAATAAAAAAAAAGCGTTCAGAAAATGGCCGAAGGTAAAACTCAGTATCCCAGAATCCTTTGCGCGTTACGAAAATTTCCCGGCATGCCGTTCAGCAGAAGCCGAGAAGAAGACGGAGCGTCATGATGGAGTCTGGTGGAGGTTGAAGCAAGCAAACGTGCTTCGATCCGAACTGAGTGCAGTCCGAGACGCTCGTGCTCCTGAGGAGAACCACTTCACGAAGCCCCGCGGCGCTCCTTGAGCGCGCGCTAGTTACCTACCTACCTGCTGCGGAGACTGTCGGTGAGTTCATGAGCGCAGTGGCGCCTTGTTGTTCCGCTCCGAGCCGCCATTTAACCCCGTCCTGCAGGCGTCCGCGCGCACCTGGCACACCTGCGCGGGCTAGGCTCACCTCACCGTCTTAATCCCACCTGTATCCGCGCCGAGGCTCACGAGTCCCACGGAGCGTTTTCCCGGAGGCGCGTGCTAACGGTTAGCACCCGCTAGCACTATTAGCCGAGTTAGCCGCGTTAGCCCAGCTGCAGCCGGAACCGCTGTGTTTAAATCCGGGATAACCCCACCCCGAGCCTGCGGCGGGTTTTCACCGCAGGTCAGCGTCAGGTGTTCTGTGAGGTGTCCGCGTTCCTCAGGTGGTTTCGGTGGCTGGCTCTCACTGCAGGAGTCCGTGTGTGCCGACATGTGATACCATCAGCTTCTCCACACTGCGATCGCTTCACAGCGTTCATGGTTAGTAAAGTTTATTTAAACCGCGTTTCTCCTGAACATTTGCAGCTGCTCCTCAAAGTCCACAGCCTGCGGGTAGGATGATGACTCGGGCTGAAATCACTGCAGTGTTCGGCTCCTCCACGGCAGGCAGGAGCGGGTTACCTGTCAGGTGTACTGTTCAGGTTCCTTCATGTAGCAGCAGAAAGGCCAGTTGTAAATGCAGATAAAAACAGGTCAGTGAGAGTGTATATGCTCACCTGCTGTGTAAACATGCGTCTGATTCATTTTTAAATATTAAATGAACTACCTGCATATACAGTCAGCATTGTTTGCTCTAACTTTTAAAGTTACAATAGTGGACTACAGATGGCGTAGAGTAGCTGTGAGGGTGGTGCAGGAGGCTCTGTGGACTGGTGTGTTTGAGATCTGTGGGGAGAGTACGTGTTACAGGCAGGAGCAGACCTCAGAGGAGCTTCATGGATGTAGTGAAGGAGGACGTGCAGAGGGTTGGTGTGATGGAGGAGGACCCTGAGATAGGAGGAGACTGAGGCAGATGATCTGTTGTGGA